AAGAGACTGGAGGCAACAGAAATGTGGTTCTACAAAAGGTTTTAGGACAAATGAAAACAAAAAGGACACTTATAAACAGGAAGAGAATTTCTCACTTCCCGCCATAATGTGGCTTCTCTGCTTCTCTCCGTTGTTATGGTAAAACGTGATCAGTTTGCATTTTGTCGTCTCGTAATTCCGCTTATTAATCGCGAGGAGACCTAACCAACGGAGAGGTGGGACACAATGGAATTCCACATGACGGGTTTAGAACATGCTCGATGTCAAGTGTGCGCTAAATAGTATCATCTAAGCCTTAAGTAAGGTAAAAGGAAATAATTAAATAAAAGATTCGGGGTCAAGTGCCAATCGGTCGGAAGGTGAGAAATTCCGATTGTGGTCTTATACGGGTAGAGTCGTTGGAGGGTTACTGTCAAGTCGCACATCGTGATGGTCGTCGGGAGTTCACGCTTCCCCAAGAGAAGATGCGACCCATTAATCAGTCGTGAGATAAGATAAAAGTAGCATCAAAGATGTCCCAAGTGTCACCTACTTACCCCACAGACATTGCTAGGAGAATCAATAAATAAAGAAGCTAACTTACTGAAAACAGGATTCCAGTGTTTTCTTTTCTCTTTGTGGCATTATTTTAACTTACGCTCCCTTGGTGAACGTACATCGGGGCTTTCCCAGTTTTTGTCCATACCGACACAAACGGGAATCGAAATACTGTCGACCCAGAAAAAGAATCGAGGTCCTCGAGTGTATGTTCACACAGGGTAAGACAGAAATACGAAGCTAACAGTAAAATACAAGATATGTGTGTACCGCCAAACATTTGTTTACATAGCAACGGTTAAAATGTTGACAATTCAGGAAGCAACATTTGGAGCTCCTTATCACAACGACGATCATTATCAAGTTTCCGCCCTTCACACAATTCATTGGAGTTACTTGATAAATATATGTGTCGCAGTGTTGCGTTGACAAATTTTCCTGTATTATGTTGGATAGCGTTTTCGTTTTCTATGATATTGAGCAAAACAAATTTTCAGGAGGTAACTTCTAGGACGGAGGTGTAGTCAAGAAAAAGGGCCGTGGATGAAAACAAATCCGTTGTGGCACTATGGATATACCGCCAGTTAGAACAACAAGACTAACACAATACAGGAAGAAAAAACATTAAAAATAGAGAGGGAAAGAAAGAGAAAGAACTAGAAAGGAAGGGACATATATATAAATATATATCTATATCTTTATTACAATAATTGGTTTCAATGTTTCCATGTAATTAGTATTAGGAATGTATATGTTTATAAAGCTCCGTAAATTTCAAGATTAGTTATTCCAAAATTCGCTTGAGGATAAAACAGAGCTGGGTTTTTAGCTTCTGTTTTTGAAACATGAGAACTCTTATGTAGCGATGGAATCATATTTTTTTAAATAATTATATATATGTTTATATATATATATATATATATATATATATATATATATATATATATATATATATATGTGCGCGCGTGTGCGTGTGTGTGTGTGTGTGTGTGTGTGTGTGTGCGCACACACACACACATACACTGAGGTTAACACCGAGCGGTGACAATCTGTTTCATACTTGAACACAATCTTCAGGTCATGAACGCCTAAAGGTTCAAGTGTAAAACATACTGTCGCCGATCTGTGTTGAACTCAATGTCCACTTGTTTATTTACAATAGGCTCTACCCCTGATATTGAGCACTTTTACCCATAAATATAGCATACCTTAAAACTATAATTTTATCATCTATATTTAGCGTACATAGCGATGAAACATGCGATGGAAATGCAGATTTTACGATTAGCTGAAGAAGACACGCTACCGTTGTAACCATTGAGCATATAGTATGTAGCTCAACACATTTGAAAGTGGCAAACACTTTTTCGTGGTAGGCGAAACAGGTGTCTCGTAGAAAATGTTTCTCAGCACACCTTCCTGTTAGAAGTATTTTTGCCGCGCAATTTAAAAAAAAATTATCTTTAATACGCCAGTGAAAATGTCAAGGAAACGGCAAAGTTTGCTATAATTGATAGAAGCAGAAGGCTGGACAAAAACATACGTCATTACATACATACAAAAAAAATAGTAAAAATGTCGAAACAGCAGAAGGTTTCCACTTCCAGTGTATGATTTTATTAAGGAGGCTGATAAACAGCTCAGCTGCACCTTGGTGTAGATTAATGATTAACAAACTGGCCCCACTCGCAAAGATTGATTCCACATAACACACCCGATACTTGCAACCTTATGCAAGAAGAAGAAGAAGAAGAAGGCTCCTGGCCTGGAACGTCTATTGGGACTCAAACTCACATCAGGCCTCAACCCTTGCTCCCTCCCCTATACGCCATTACAACATCACCATTCTGTAATCCTCTACCTTGAGTGATACTTAGGCCTTTCATATTTTACTGGACTGCAATCGTAGCTAAAGCGCCCAGTTTTCCCGACTATTTACCACAGCTGATGTTGGGGAAAGAAACATGGTTTCATGCCTTTTCCTTTGAAACTAGCTTGCAGCGGGCCTTTTTTGGTTTGTTTGTTTTTTGTTTTTGTTTTTTTGTTTTTGTTTTTTTGTTTTGTTTTACGACATATCACTCTCAGTGGGTTATTTAGTTCCGACAAGGTTTTTTAGGATATCTTCGTATCAATAGAATATGTATTCTTTGTAAGAAATCAGTTTGCAGAACAGGTTTGTATCATTGATGTGCTATTGTAAAGAGGGTTTTGGTCGAGAGTATTGCTGCTAATATTTTTTTTCAAAAATGTATTGCTGTTATTTTTACTATAAAAATCTTTTCTTATACTTTCATTGTGTTTTGGCCCCAGTTTGGGGATTAACTATTTTCCCATAGCTGGGACCCTAACAGGTGCTACCAACCCGGGTCAGGGTGGACCTGGGAAGAACAACAACAAAGAGGTGGTTCCAAGCTTCTCAAAAATCTCCCGATCAGAGGCGTTGCTGCCGGATGTAGTTTATCGTCTTACCCAGGACGTGACTTTTACATTTATCTTAACTCAGCAATTCTGATCATCCAGATATAAAGAAAATAAGAAAAATAACAGAGCAGATAATAACATTGAAAAAAAAAAAGAAAAGAAAAATATAAAATTTTGATCCATTATCCATTTCATCACCAGCACATCCAAGATTACAGAACCTGGTATTCCGAAGCGGTATTGACCTGGCTCGACGTTGCTTCACTTCGGTGATCGTACAAGGACCGGGGGTTTCAACGTGATGTGGCCGTAAAGCGTATCAAATACAAACAAAGGCGCTTGATCAGGAATTGAATAAATTTAACACGTTCACCGGCGTAGACGTGTATATACGTTTTCACTGAAAGCGTCTTTTTCAGACAGAGACGAATAAACACGTTCAAAAGGTAAAAAAAAAACAGCTACAGACGTGTTTATACGTCGGTCTTGATTCGTTTTATTCACTTCTGAGTTTGAAACGAGTCTTGTAGAGGTGATAACCACTGCTCGGTTACTTCAAAGTCTCTCAATTTCTTAGTTACGATATTCAAAACAAATATTTAAAAAAATCGTCTCAAAATGCAAAGTTTTTCCATAAATAATTGGGGCGGGGGCAAGAGGTTAACTTATAGAATAAATGTAACAGATAGAAGTTGTGTTTTCTTCTTTTTAATGGCAGCCTCTTTTATTCAGAACGCTGGATGGAATTAAAGAGAAAAAGAGAGAACCAACAGATAATAAAACCTCGGTTTGATGACCTCTTCAAGTTGAAGTACCCCGGGTCCAGGAGTAAGGGGAAAAGAACCCTGGCGGTTTGTTTTTATATAGATTTAATTATCTATCAGTAGGGAGGCAATGGATAGAGGTTTAGATTGAAGAATCGGAAAGCCGAGTTCGAATTCCAGTCGAATCTGTTACATTTACTTAAGTTAATAGCCCTGGGAAAAGGTGTGAATCTTCTTCTTCTCCTCCCAGCTATGGGTAAATAGCAGGACAGACTGGGTCTATTCTATGAGAAGGAAAAACACTGGAGATCTTAGATCAAAAATGCAGTACACATTTCTGATCTAAGATGTAGGAGGAGAAAAATATCTGTCAGTACATATATAATAATAGCTGGTCACTCGTATTCGAGGATAGCCATCTACTAGGGCGCGGTTAGCCAATCCCTATTGCAGACGATCGCTCACCTGTGCTTTATGCTGCAACTATGATGAACTAGCGAGACCAATTTGAACAAGGCCAGCACGATCAAGCCCTCGGCCACAGTTATCGACGGCCCACAAGAGTTCCGTCTACCCAATTTCACTCATAAGGCTTGGGTGGTATGGTTTTCAGGCACTTTCCAAAGGTGCTGCACGCTGGGATCAACCTCGATTCAGTCCTTCCTGACAAATCGTTCATGGTGATTCGAACCCGGGTCTCATGGTCAGAAGGCAGACGTTCTAACACTAAGCCACGAGCCCAATGATTGATACATACATACATACATACATACATACATACATACATACATACATACATACATACATACATACATACATACATACATACTGCGGTTGCAGTACACATGGTGCCCCTACGGGTCAAGGGGAAAATTATCTATCCATATATACATACATAAATTCATTACGCATAAATACATTACGCATAACTTTATTTTCATATCCGGCTGATGCTTCAGCCACACGTCTGAAGCAACAGCCGGATATGAAAATAAAGGCAGAAATCAAAATGATAGAATGTTATCTCTGCGCATCAGAATCGACGCACATCTTCCGGTAATAATAAATAAAAAATATCAAATAAATTTTTAAACAATCACTGGTTTTCTCGCTTCTTTTCAGTAACCGAGAAAATTAGGCTGTGTGATCCGGATTTAAGCAAGAGATTTTTTTCTCTTTTTATTCGAACGAACAGTCTTGATTTAATTTTCCTGCTGTTGCGCGTACCCGACTACCGACAGTAGTACATAGATGATGACTTTATTTTTACCGGAATTGATGTCAGCTGTGCCAAGCCGACATCACTTCCGGTAAAAGTTATTGTTAGGTTAGATCATTTAACCGAGTATATAAGTCATGGCCTTTATACACTTACGATATGTTTATTTTCTAAGCGTAGCTTATATGTGGCACGAGGCCGAAAGTATGGGGCACCCAGTGAGGATCAGTTAACATACATTCTATATGAGAGGGTACAAGTCACAACTTTGAGCCGTCTCACATAGTTTCAAAAACAGCCAATAAGTGCTTGTTTGAAGAGTTTCTAAGGTGAGTGCTGGACAGTCTCCACAGACTTGAAACAAAAGAAATGGGTCTCTACAGAAGGATGCTGAGAATACCATAGATCGAATATGTGAGCAACGACGAGCTCTAGAGAAAATGGAAACAAAACAGAAACTTAAGGAAGAGGCAGCTGACATTTCTAGAACACCTAATGAAGAAAGAGGGCTTGGAAAATCTGATACTCACAGGACAGACTGAAAGCAAGAGGGACAGAGAAAAACAGCGCATAACATACTTGGTGAGCTTGAATGAATGGATAGCAGAATACAATTTGGGAGAAATAACAAAAAGACAAATTCAATTAAGAGCTACAAAGGACAGGAAATCGTGGTGAGCTATTATCGTCTGCGTCCTGAGGGGACACGATATATGAAGAAGAAGTTATCTTACTATAGTAGGTTAAGTTTGAGGACTGGGGGAATATATTTTTAATAGCCAGATATATATACGTCGAATATACAACAATATATATAATTCGCTATTATTTTACTCTCCCTTTACTCTCTCTCACTCTCTCTCTCACTCTCTCTTAAATTTTTCTATCTCTATCCCTCTCTCTCTGTTCTTCATTTTGCTGCCTTTCTTTCTTCCTCTTCCATCTTGCCTTATGTTTCCTTCTTTTTTATTCTCACTTTCCCTCGTTTTTCCTCCATTTTCATTTTTTTTATTTTCGTCACTTTTCTCTCTTTTCATCTTTTCTTTTCCCATCTCCATCGTTATTTCGCTCTTTGCTTCCTTTCACTTTCTCTCTTTATTCTCTTTGTTTTTCTTCCTTCATCTCTTTCCTGTGTGTTTATTTTCTCAACTCTTTCACTTTCTCTCACATTCTTTATCTCTCTCATCTCCTCTTTCATCTCCTATCTCTATTTTTCTATTTTTCACGCTTACTTTCCTTGTCTCTTTTTTTATAATACTTCATCCTCGCGTTTCTCTCTCTCTCTCTTCTTACACTCTTTCTATCTCTTTACTCTTCCACTCTCTCTCATTTTACTCTCTTTGTCTCTTCCACGAATCTTCTTTCTGATTCATCTCTTTAACTCCGAATTCGACCGTGTTCCTGGTTGAATTTACCGAGAAGACCTTTCACTTTAACCAACCCTGCCAGTTAATAATCAGAAAAGAACCATTCTTTTTAGCAGTGATTATATACTAAACTAGCAGCATGGCCCGGCGTTGCCCGTGCTTAATTCAAAAATCGTACGACTCATACAGCAATCGCTATCACTTGACTTAAAATATTTTTGCCCTTCCTTGCCTTTAAAGGAGTGCCCTTTGCCGTGCTGATGTTGCTACATGCCTTACTTCTTGCCTATCTCACTATGCGAATTTTTTCTAAGCTCTATACTAAACACTAAATCTGTTAAGAAAAAAGAACTAAACAAAATGAACACAAAACGATCAGCTTTAAAAAGGACTCGTAACTGGAAAAACCGAATGAAAAAGAATGTTAACAACAAATACTTTTTCACACCCAACCCATTTCTGCGGAATCAGAATCAGCATTCAGTTTGAGCAAGTGAATGAGCCAATTGGATTAAAGTGCCATGCAGATTTAAATTTTTCCCCACTTGTGACGAATGCAGCTATCGATTTTTTTTTTGCTTTCGTGTCAGTCAGCTGTTGGCTCTCACGCTGGTCAATAGAATCTTCCTGCCTATTTTTTGGCAGCCAACTATAGGCTCTCACACTGGCCAGTAGAAAATGGCCTCAAACTACATGAAAACTGCCGTAGAAGCATGAAAAAATTGATTATTTCCACTATCGATGGAAGTTGGGAAATGCAAAGTCGATCTTGGCCTTCCCGCTAACTTGGATCATTTGCATGTAAATTTTGGTGCAAATCCGTCGAAAATTGCGGCCGTGCATTCGTTACACACACACACACACACACACACACACACACACACACACACACATCCTGACTTTTATAGATAGAGATAAATTAATTTGTTTTTTTACGGCTTATCAACACTGTGCGGGTTATTTAAAGCCAGAAAATATTTTTAGATTGTAAAAATATTTTAGAGATAATAATGACTTGCTGATACAAGCCTTACTAATTAACCCATAGATGGGGAGAGAAGAGATGGATTCATACTTTTCTCGTGGGTATTTACGCCTAAGTAAATATAACGAACCCAACGGGAATTGGAACTCGACTCTCCAATTCAGACGTTATATATTACATCACATATGCACACCAATGCTTGCAGCACCTGCTTATTCCCAAGCAGTCAGCCGTCTAACTACTGACCAGGCTCAACGTTGCTTAACTTCAGTAATCGTAGAGATTATCTGAATGTTTTTTAGATAGAACATTTTTATTGTTGACTTTTTTTTGCTTTCAACTTAATCTTTGCTTTTTACGCAATGGTGTAATGAATAGCGGTTAGGAATTCGAACTTGGAGCGGCAAGTTCGAATTCCTGTCGAATTCATTACATTCAATTACGCGTAAATAGCCTAGCCTTATAAAAATGTATGAATCCATCTCTTCTCCTTTGCCTCATCCCAGTAGAAAAGACTGGATCCTATAATCTTTGGTTAACAAGGAGTGAGTTTGGAACATAACCTTCAACACGTTTGACAATTTCACGGATTCGTGATAAGATCAAAACACCGTTGTACCGTGTGTGTGATGTGCATAAAAGAAAATTCCGGCAGATAACGTGCAGCAACAAGTGCCGCTTCCTCGGCTATGATGTTGGAACATTTCACACGTTGCCCAAGCAGGAGTTCGCCATACTAATAAATGTCTGGAAGCTAAAGGCCACCATTTTGATCATCTTTTGTGATTGTGGAGTCCAAAGGTAACTTGTATTAATCTCGTGATGTCTGAATAAATTTAGTATTGCAATATCTACAGTTTTTATTTTCCTGAAGTGTACATACATTTTGGGAGGACTATATATATAGATATATATGTAAGTGGACACTGAAATGAACACCCCGAGGCGACAGTCTGTTTCATGCTAAGCGCAATCTTCAGGCCATGACGATTGTGTCTAGCATGAAACTGTCTGTAGCCTCTGAGTGTTCATTTCAATGTCCACTTTTATATTTACATACGCACTGTCTATGATATTGAACACTTTAACCCATAAATATAGGATACCTAAAAAACTATACTGTATCATATATATATATATATATATATATATATATATATATATATATATATATATATTCAGTTGCATAGTAGCTTGTAACCCTGGGTTTCACGCTTTTGCGATCATCAGACAATCTGGTTTTTATATATATATATATATATATATATATATATATATATATATATTTCTACATTAAGAGATGTTAATTAGTACCAGGATTCTCATATAAAAATGGTAAAAATCAAGTAAAAACTAAAAAAGAATACGTGAAAATTTTCAACTGGGCAATTTTGTCACCGAATTGAACTGACATTTTTATCGTGCCTTCGATGAAAGAAATGTAAATAAAAATAAAAGATTTTTTTTTTAAATATCAGTCACGAAAACCATAATCTAATTTATCTCCAATATTTGTTGCATAAAGTTTAGAATAGCTTTTTTCTTTCATAATACATCGTAAATAAAACATTAAAAAAATTTGAAATCTTTTCCTCAAAAAAAAAATCTTCGAGTCAACTCTTTGATTGTTTTGCTAAAATTGAAAATTTTCAGGTTTTATTTGGGGCATTTCTTTTTTCTTAAAACAATTCCTGAGACAGAAAGTAATTTCTCGATGTATGTTTCTTCTTTTTTTCTTTTTTTCTGGTTATATTTTCAAAGCCGGGGCGTTGTATGATTTTCAATATAATATATATATATATATATATATATATATATATTATTTTAGAAATATGAACGAATTGTTAAGACAGACCTCCCACCGCTACAGTACAACTAATATGACAGAAACTCGAATTAATTGGTCCAAAAGAGTAAGAAATAAAAGCTTTTCTTTGCTGGAAAAACAATGCAGAATGACACGAATCGATTGGAAGGCAAGATTTCTTTTTGCTAAATCTTTCCAAAAAAGACTTTCTCGTTCATTTACCTTTCAATCCATGTAAATCAAGAAAGGACGCCATAAACGACCTGTTAACCTTTGTCAGTGACTTGATGCATTTAACTGAAGTTACAAAACAGTCTTCGATACTCCCAATAGAATGATTTATCATCTTACCGAAATATTTTGCTTTCTGTCATGGTGAAGGGGATAAGACAAAATGTTCTTAAATGAAAGAGGAGAGACTAAAATAAAGATTAGGGGATTCAGGCGTAAAGATTGCGTTTAAGCCTGAAGCAGGCTGTCGCTACCTCCTCACACACACACATATATATATATATATATATATATATATATATATATATATGATGCAAATATTTTTATTCTTGAAGTAAACATCCCAATTTTGTGGACAGAAGTAAATTTGGATGTTTCTGGATAGGGAAACAAAATTGGGATGTTTTCAAGAATACTGAAAATATTTGCATCATATATATATATATATATATATATATATATATATATATATATATATATATATATATATATATATATATATATAGGAGGCAAGCAAGGGAGTAATGGTTGGTTGGTTTGAGGAATCGGAGAGCTGAGTTCGAATTCCAGTCGAATACATTACATTCACTTACGTGAGGTGTGAATCCTCTTCTTCACCCTCCAGCTATGGGTAAATAGGGTTCAGGCAGACTGGGTTCTATAGCCTTGGATGGCAACTGGCCTAGGAGAAGGAAAACTCTGAATTCAAAACCTGTGGAGGGTCGTTTGGGGACCTTTTGGCACGCAGTGCACCAGGTCTCTGTAATAATCGGCCCTTCAAAAAATGTGGATGGTCCTGCACGAAACCTTCACCACTATAATCGAATCTCATGTGCTGTTGTCGGGCTGTCGGTTTCCTGATCTTCTTGACCCTCATACGTCGAAATCGACGGTAGAGTCGAGTGAGTATATATATATATATATATATATATATATATATATATATATATTTATATCGTTTACAGTCGCTCTCTCACAGATGTGTCCTCGCTTCCCTCTGTCTTTTCTACAAATACTTTTACGATAACTGCCCCGACGATCTACTTTCGCTAGTTCCCAAACTGCATGAATTTAAACGTGCCACTGGGTCGGCATCTCGGTCCCACCCTTTCACTGTCGAAATGATTAAATGTAACCGTCTCTTCTACTCCAATAGCTTCATGTCTCGCACTTCCCGTCTGTGGAACTCCTTCCTCTTACTTGCTTCCCTGATAGCTATAATCTCCAACTATTCAAATGCAATTAACATTTATAGATGCCTTGATCTAATTCCCCGTCCTTCTCTCCATCCTTTCTTCTTTCACGCCTCTTTACTCTTGCTCCCACTCTCTGCAACCTCTTGCATGCTAGTGGTACTCCCGACTTGCGTGGGTGGTATATATATATATATATATATATATATATATATATATATAAAGAGAGAGAGAGAGAGAGAGAGAGAGAAAAAAAAAATTAATACAAATAAAAAGTTTGTCACTTAGCTGATTGATGCTACCTTCAGCATACCGACTCCAGAGATTCGTAGACTGATCCTCTGGGAATCAACCCGTGCATTCGTCAGTAGGTATCAGCAATTAACTGCTTATATTTCTTGATTTTTGAGGAGAAAATTCGGGAGGAGAAAGGACAAAAAAATAAAGATATTTTTGAACACTATAAATAAAACATAATTTACCATCTCTTCTCCCCCTCTCTCTCTCCCCCCTCTCTCTCTCACCCTCTCTCTCCCCCTCTCTCTCTTTCTCTCTCTTTTTCACTCTCTCTCTCTATCTCTTTCTTTCTCTATCTATCTCTCTCTCTCTCTCTCTTTATTTCTCATATTTCCTACATTTTATTCTTTCTCTCTCTATCGTTTGTTTTTCCTCCTTTATTTATTTTCGCTACTTTTCTCTTTTTATCTTTTCTTTTTCAATCGCCATGATTACTTCTCTCTTTATTTCCGCTTACTTTCTTTCTTTATTTTCTTTGCTTCCTTCCT